CTTTTGTCTTGTAAAGCTTACAAGACAAGCTTCATAAGAGGGAGATCCCTCCATACACGTGTATGGAGGGTAGCAAAAGGTAAGACAGCTGTCTTAAAATATCTGCAAAAGCAGATGCACAGTAATCGGCCGGTCAAAAAGGTCATCTTGGCCAAAAGGAGTGCCGGCCGGCACTAAATAGTGCTGACCGGCAACAAATAGTGCCGGCCGGCAATATACATTGCCGGTGGCAGCAAAAACTTGCCGGTGGCCTCTAGCCACTGCCGGTGGTGTGTGGGGATGTCTCACAAGGCATTCCCTGCCCCTCCAAGGAAAAACACAAGTGTTTGGTGTAAAACCAGACACTAAACAGTCGAGTTCGGAGATCCTGCGCGCAAAGCGCGCGAGCCGAGGCCTCCGGGAACTCAAAACGAACACAAACATAGATAATCATCGAGTGTTCAAACGATGACGTCCAAGTCTTGAGGACGGTCAAAAATGGGGTGTCTACACCCCTCTCACTACTCCAGTTTCCAAAGAGGATTTGGTTCACATCTCTTTCCTTTTGAGGTCTCATCTGATGAGTACATCTCCACTGTTCCTCTGGAGTCCATTCTTACTTCTCCGTCTGCATCACCTATGGCTCCTTCTCCTCCTTCAGCTTCTTCTTCTCCTCCGTTGTTGGTCTATTCTCGTCGTCAGGCTCCCCCATAACTAGTTATCTCTACTCCTGTTGTTGCTCCTTCTACTTCTGACGACTCTGATCCCGCTGCACACTGATATCCTACTCGTAAGCGTCGTCCTCCAAATAGGTTGGGTTGGTTTAATACATGTTTTTTTGCTTCCTATCATACTTTTTTATCTGTTATTCATTCTTTTTCAGAACCATAGTCTTACACGAAAGCTTGTCAGGATCCTAATTGGGTTCAAGCTATGGAGGATGAGTTGTTTGCCTTACAAAAGACTAACACTTGGGAACTAGTTCTTTTGCCTGTTGGCAAGAATCTAGTTGGTTGCAAATGGGTCTATATAGTCAAGACTCATTCTGATGGTTTTCTCGAGCGCTACAAAGCTCGATTGGTTGCCAAGGGTTTCTCACAAGAGTATGGTATTGATTATGAGGAGACCTTTGCCCCTGCTACCAAGATGACTATTGTCCGTACCTTGATTTCTGTTGCTGCTGTTCGACATTTGCCTCTCTATCAAATGGACAATAAGAATGCTTTTCTTAACGGTTATCTCACTGAAGAGGTCTACATGCGTCCTTTCCCTGGTCTTCTCCACTCCTCTGGGTAGGTTTGTCGTCTTCGGCATGCTCTGTATGGTTTGAAGCAGTCTCCTCGTGCTTGGTATGATCACTTTCAGACTGCCGTTACCGAGCTTGGGTTTCATCCTTTTGCTTCCGACTTTGCTTTGTTTCTAAGATATACCTCAACTGGTTTTATTGCTCTCCTACTCTATGTGGATGATATGATCATCACTAGCTCTGACTCTTCTATTATCTCTACGGTCAAGCAACATCTCTTCCACACCTTCGAAATGAAGAATCTAGGTCCATTGTAGTATTTTCTTGGTATTGAGGTTGCCTCTTCTCCAAAGGGCTATTTTCTGTCTCAGGCCAAGTATGCTAATGAGGTTATTCACTATGATGGTCTTACTGATACTAAGGTTTCTGATACACCTATTAAGCTTAATGTGAAGCTCAACTCTACTGATGGTGTCCCTCTGGATGATCCCACGGTCTATCGCGAGCTGGCGGGTTGTTTAGTTTATTTAAATGTCACTCGCCCTGATCTTGTTTATGCTGTTCATGTGGTTAGTCAGTTTGTTTCTGCTCCTCGCTCTACCCATTGGGCTGCTTTGGTTCGTATTCTTCGCTATCTCCGGGGTACCATCTTTCAGGGCTTGCTGTTGTTATCTACTTCCTCTTTAGACTTGGTGGCCTATGCTGATTCTGATTGGGCTGGTGATGTTACTGATCACAAGTCCATCTCTGATTTCTGTATGTTTCTTGGCGATTCCTTGATCTCTTGGAAAAGCAAGAAACAAACTATTGTTGCTCGCTCTACTGCCGAAGCTGAGTACCGTGCTATGGCTCATGCTACTACTGAGCTTGTTTGGCTTCGTTGTCTTCTCTCTAATTTGGGTGTACCTCAGCCTTCTCCGATCTCCCTCTATTGTGACAACTGCAGTACTATTCAGATTGCCGACAATGCTGTCTTCCATGAACGGACGAAACACATTGAGATTGATTGTCACTTTGTACGACAGCATCTGCAGTCTGGTTCTATCTCGCTTCCTTTTTGTCTCCTCGGCTTTGCAACTTGCAGAGTTTTTCACCAAGACTCACACTACCGCTCGGTTTCAGTTTTTTCTTAGCAAACTCTTAGTGTTTTTTGCTAAAACACCTTGAGTTTGAGCAGGGTTGTGAGAATATATATTGTATATATGGTATATTAGGAATTAGGCAATTCCCTTTTCTTTGTATTTCCTTTTTCTATCATAGATTAGGGCTATATAACTGATGCACTCTTTGTAAATATATACAATTGAATATACAGAAAAGCTTTCAGGAATCTTACACCAAAACCATTCTATCCGAAAGGACAGCAATGAAACAGAGAATTGGCAACATCATGAATGGAATCCACAATCGCCTAGGAGATCCAAGGATTGGCCCAGTCTTGCTCTTGGGAGCATTGATGTCTTTTGGTAGCATCTAGCTGTGAAGGAGCCAATCATATCATCCAAGTCGATTTAATAATCAAACTCAACCGAGCAAAAAGGTAAGTGATGGCATATTGGGCTCCTGGGAGCATTGTTATTGTTTGTTTTCCATCTATTATTATCTTTATCTCCAATGTGATTTCATTGAGCAATAAACAATATATGTGCATTTTTCTTTGTCATTATTCTTATAATGTTTTTTTTTTTTCAAGTTGCGTATGCGGGCCGCTAGTGTATAATTATTATCATTGTCTTTATTTTTATATATGTGATGTCTTGGCTGCATATCATTTTACTTGATTAATTTAGTAACTTCTATTAATATTCTGTTACGATTAGTCCACCTATGTGATATATGTGGGTCCCATACAGTTGTTAGGCTAGTTCAAACATGTATTTGGATTAGGATATTAGAGTCCGGAATCTATTGGAGAACCCAATGTGTAGGTTTTGGTTACCTAATTGTATGGAACTAAGTTTTTTGTGAGTACACTATTATAAATAGTCGTGGAGACTATAGGTTTTGGTGTGATTAAGATGAGGATAAAATAAAGATGCAAGGGGTGACAAAAAATACCGTGAAGGCACCGGCGTTAACAAGGGCTCAACTACTCTTGAGCATGGGATTCAGGTAGTGATATGGGTTTTGAGTGTGTTGACCATCTCACATGTATTATTTATTTTTCATTCATAGTGAAATCTCTCTCCCGTGGATGTTGGCAATTGGTGCCAACCACATAAATCTGTTTGATTGTTTTTCTCTTTGGTGTGTGCATTGTGTGCTTCCATTCACATTGGTGGGATGTGGTATAAATCTCAACATATTCTTCAAAGTTTGCTTTATTTAGTTCAAATGCAGTCACATATACCTTGTGGGAAGCAACCCTTTTTGTTTTTGTTTTTGTTTTCGTTTTCGTTTTCGCTTTTGTTTTTGTTTTTTTTTTCCTTGACGGTCAAGTTATTGCCTATTCATTAGCATTTTATTACTGCCCCTAACAGATTACTGTACTGAGTGATAGCTTTGTGCATATCTCTAAATCATCTCATTGAACAATTCGCATTTTCCAGCTTTGCAATTTCTAGAGACTCATCATTCTCATTGAACGCCCCACCCCAAACTCTCAAACATTAAAAAAGACTGGAAAAAAAACTCTAAATAAGGATTTTTCTGTCTCCCTCACCACGAATCATTTTTGTATGATTGTTCCTTCATTGGGAATCTATTGCTTGCTAGTTGAAATTGTTTCCGTCACCAGCAATCATTCTTGTATGATTGTGATCCTTAATTAATATTCTCTGACAATTTTCTTTCACATTTATCCCCCACCATTTTTTATTTATTTTTATTTTTTTTGGTATGGAATATTTAAAAAGATTTTGTTGAAGGACAATATTGATTTTTAGTGGCTCCTTTGGAAAAGGAAATTGTGCCTCACTTTGTGTTGAACTACATAGAGACTGGTGGTGTTATGTGTTCTATAGTTCCCAACCTCGAAACCCAAATAATTTTTAGAATCACTGCCGACGTTACAACTAATAATCAAAGTTTTTAAAGGCATATGTGTAACGCAAGACATTTTACCTCTTGTGAGGGGAGGCATAAGCCTCAAGACATTGAGGCATATGAATTTTGAATTTTAAATTTTATATTAAAATAGTGAAAAAAATTAAAAATTAAATATGCTATAAGTACTTTTCTCCATAAGGCATTAAAATATTTCATTGTCACTACAACAAAATGCACTTTTGGGGATCAAAATTGGCGACTAAAAAAAATTTAGTCACCAAAAGTTGTAGAATTGGTGACCAAAAATTTTTTTAGTCAGCAAAAGTACAATATTTAGCTACTAATTTTTTTTAGTCAGGGTATATTAATTATTGGCAACTATAAAAAATTTAGTCCATAAAAATAAAAGAATTGGCGACAAAAAAAATATTTTAGTCGCCATATATTGAATTTTGGCTACTAAAACAATTTAGTCGCCAAATGTAAAATAAAAAATTATTTTTTATCTTTGGCGACCAAACTTTTTAGCGACAAAAAAATATTTTAGTCGCCGTATATTGAGTTTTAGCTACTAAAACAATTTAGTAGCCGAATGTAAAATAAAAAATTATTTTTAATCTTTGGTGACCAAAAGTTTGGCCGCCAAAACATAAAATATTTTAGTCGTCAAAAAACTTAAATATTTGGAAGGAGACCTTTCAAATTTTGGAGGGATTTATAGACTTAACCGACGACTAAAAATTTTTAGTCGCTAATAGTGTGTAATGTGTATATATTTGGTTTCCTGAAACCCAAACCAGTGCCTCTGTCTCTCTCTCTTCAGCGTCTCTCTTTCTCTCTATCTCTCTCTCTCCCTCTGCCTCTCCCTCTCCGCTGCTCCTCTCCCCTCCCTCGCGGTCGCCAGCAACTGGAGCACCGATTCACCTCGTTGTTGGTCACCGTTGCATGAGATCCATCGCCCAAGGAAGCTCGATCGGCGACTCCTCCCTCGCAGCTCCTCGCATTGCAAGGTTTTTGTCTTCCTCTCTCTAATCGACTGATATATATATATATATAATAATAATCTCTACACCGATTGTGAGATCAATTATTGTTGCTTAAACCTATTGATCCGATCCATTGTTGGTTTTAATTTCTCTGAGAATCGTTTGAGAGAGAGAGAAAAAAAAATGATGTCGGAGGGTAGGGTTTGGGTCGGAGCATCTCATTCACACAGAAAGAGTGCTATTTCTGGCATTGATGTGATAAAGACATTTGTTTTTTATACTTATCTGGTACACTTTCAGCGCGATTTTGACCCGGTAAGTTTGTCCTATACTCAATCAGTAATTGGCTAAATGTTTGATTCTTAAACCTTTCCTTCTCACTGTTTTAAACTTGTTTGTTCTTAATACGCATCTATTCTGCCAGGTACAAAAAAACTCTCTTAGGAGATGATTTTGGAAAGTTCCCAGTTCCTTTATTGATGAATACATTTCACTTTGTGATGCAAGTTGTGTTATCAACAGCTATAACATGGTTTTGGCCTCAAAGATTTCAACCCAGGGTAACTATGTCATGGCGGGATTACTTCATGAGAGGTAACTCTCTTGCTTTTTTATCCTGTTCTTTTGTTTTACTCAACCAATATGGGTATAAATTCAATTTTGGCGTATTCGTTTATGAATTTTCATGTCTTTTGTTGTTTTTCATGAGTAACATTGTAGTTTATCTGGAAACTGCCAGTGTAGATAAGTTTCCTTAGCCTCTTTTCTTTTATTTTAAAAGAATGAATATTGGAGTTCAATGAATTATAACTTTGATTGGCTAGAATATGTAACTAAATTGAGAGGTAGATGCCAACGTTGGCCAGAGAAAAGCATTCCTAGATAGTTTACAATGTCAACTAGGTCTCAACAGATACAGTAATGGGAAAGACTTGCATATTGGATTGAAGGTCTCTCTGATGCAGAGCATTGGAAATCCAAGGCCATTTTCACCTAATGTGATTGCACCAGAGAGAATTCCATTTTCACAATCACTAATAGAAATTTGGTCTCCTATATGGGTTGATTGTGATTCAGCTACACTGTCAAGATGTAGTGCACACAGCTTGTCTCAACTCTCTTCCATTTTATCACCTACAGTCTGGGAGAGGAGGGTTGATCCTGTACTATACTCAGAGCTGTCTGGGGACTCCTTATATAAATCAGGTTGCCTACAGTAACAGTCAACTAGATTTTTATTACGATTAAAAACTACTTGAATCTTAATATTATACACTTATGTTTGTTACCTCCAAGATGGATGACTTCCCTTACTACTACTTCTTAAGTCCTCTATCAAGTCTTTAAAATTTTCAAACTGAAAATCCATATCAGATATGCTAATACCAAGCATATCACTCCCTCTGTTTTGGTTGAGAAAATCATGGAGGACCTGAATATCATATTTGGTTTATATTAGGCAATATTCAAACACTAAGGGCATCATATATGATTTACTATATCGGCAATTTAATCAGGAAATCAATGAGACCATGTAACAATTATTACAACCCTACTTTTGGCACATGTCTATGGATTGACAGCATCATTTCAACCTTTCTTGAAGGTATGATGGAAGGAAAAGAAAAAATAAACCCTACTAGATAATTGCATCTGTTGTTATAAGAAATATCTAATAAGTAGACAAGTGAGGAATTGAAGGTTCTTGGAGGATATTTATTAGCTCTCAAACTTTGTTTTCTTCTATTCCTGACAACTGATGACATCTGTGGAAATGATATCATTTGAGCATTTATTTTGATACTCATCCCCAACTTGCGAGGACACCCGAGAACTTCCAAGTTGTCAAAAAGTGGTTTGATGTTCATATGTCTTTCATCGATGAATGATGCTTCATATTTCATTATAGTTGTTTTTAGAACAAAAATTTTACTTCGGACAAATAACAGTCCTGCAATGTGCCAAAAATACAACCTTATTTTCTAACCTGCAAATGATTTTCTTCTTCAATCTTCAGTGTTAAATAGAAATGGTCCATTTTGGGCCAACAAAGGGGTCGCCTCTAGCAGATCTATTGTTGGGCCCCAAAACTTCAAACCTCTATGCCATTTGATGTAGTCCAGTAGCATGTACCAACAGTTGCATGTTTTGTTTTTAGGTTTTTTATTTATTGAGACTTTCTTCTTATAACCAGTATGTAAGCAAAGATTTTAGGCAGTCTTTAGGATTATCATTTCAATTTAATCAATACCTATTTATCTTAGGGACTGACAGTACCTTTATCTAGTGCTATATAAACATGAAAATCATGTAAATAGTAAGAAACATAGTGAGAATCACAATCTACTCAAATATCCTGATAAATCGCTCTAATTTTGTGTTATGGCAAAACCAAGATGACAATTTATTTATTTATTTTTTATTTTAAACAACAATTTACCAATTTGTTGTATAGTTGGCCTTCCTTTATGAATAGATACTATTCACCCATTGGCTCTGCCTTTATTTTTATCTTGACAATCCATCATAGTCTGCTTACAAATGGTGTGCTTGCATCACAAGATAATGATCCTATGATGTTACATGTAGCAATGACCATTAGTCTTCCCATGGCGCGCTTACTACTAATTTTATATTCTTCATTTCTAATCAAGTATGGATGAGAATAAGAGATGTCTGATTTGATTGTGTCATTTCAGTAGATGATCACAATCTAATCAATGCAATTTCTGCCAAGACATTGCTACTGTAGTCTGCCTGTTTTTGTATTTGAAGTTTGAATATATGCTTCGCTGTTGTTATATTTTTGTCAATTTGTTGTTTGAATCATCGATCATTGGCTATGGTTTTAGGGAGTGAGTAAAGGCCTAGTTGCAGAGAAGATCTTCACATTAATGGCCGAGAGTGGAAGGCAAGCTGATTTCGTATCAAGCATTGTCTACACTTATCAAGCGTTGGCTTCACTTATACATAACTGATACATGTTAAGGTATCTTCACTGAAATCCTTTTTTTTTTTTTTTTTAACAATCCATCTCTGCAGTTATTTGCTTACAAAGTTCAGTTTTGTAATTATGTGGTTTAGGGAAACTTGTCGAAGAGATCACTCCACAGTAATACAGAGATCACTTCAATTTCAGGCTGAGGTGTCTCGGCTTATGGACATCATTATCAACTCACTTTACAGCAATAAAGATATCTCTTTTAGGGAATATATTTGGCATGGTAGTAAATATATTTGTGTGCAGATGACATGTTTTGGTATGATTTTTTGTTTTATATGGAATAATATTATTACTGTAGGTTGGAATATACTTAATTTGTATGAAATTTGACATTAAAAGTTATTCCTTTTTGGATGGTTGGAAGTGAAATGGATACAAATTGCGAAATGATTGATAATAGATGTATTATTTTATTTATATATATGATACAGGTTGCATGGAATACATACATATTGTGGACAAATTAATTATAAAATAAAATAAAATCATGTTTTTGGCGACTAAACAATTAGTAGCCAAAAATGTAGTAAATATTTTTAGCGACTAAATAGTTAGTAGCTAAAAATAAAAATAAAAATAAAATGGAAAAAAACTTTTGGCTACTAAATATTTAGTAGCTAAAAATAAAAATAAAATGGAGAAAAACTTTTCGCTACTAAATATTTAGTACTCCCTCCGTCCCAAAATATTAGTCCCTTATTCCATTTTTCATTGTCCCAAAATATTAGTCCCTCTTTAAAAATCAAGTACTATCAAATTTCTTATTGTACCCTTCTTTTAAATTAATAAGCAATATAAAAAGTATAATTATGCATTGATATTCTTAAAAAATGTACTATCAAAAGGATAATTTTGGAAAGTCAACTTTTTTCAAATGCAATAATTGTACTACCAAAAAAAGTTGAATTCCCCAAAAGGGACCATTATTTTGGGACAGAGGGAGTAGTCAAAATAAAAGCAGATTTTAGGAGACTAAGAATTTAGTAGCCAAAAAAAACAAAATGAAAGAAATAAAAAAATAAGATGAAAAAAAAAACTCTTTGGCAACTAAACCTTTGGTCGCCGTAGATACTTCAAGTTTTGGCGACCAAATTTTAGTAGCGGAAAATAAAATTTTTGGTGATTAAAAATACCAGTCGCCATTTATGGGACTTTTGGCGACTAAATATTTTTTCGTTGCCAATACCTTCCCCAACAACCTTCTTGCGACCAATCCGGTGATCAAAATATTTAGTCGGGCAAAATTTTAGGCAACTAAAATCGTACTTTTGGCGACTAAAAATTTAGTCGCCAAAAGTGAAATTTCTTGTAGTGTGAGGAGTGATGTTTATTTGCACTTTATGGAACTATGATTTATCTTTGGTAAAAAGTTGAAGAGTGACATTTATGAAGAATGTTAATAAAAATGAAAGAAAGTGAATTTATCTTATTTTAGTTTTTTTTATCAAATCAAGTCCTACCCTTCATGGCTATCCAATATATCTATATATATTTTTTAATCCATCACTTGAATTTATTGCTCGTAAAAAACAAATTAATGAGCATAGGAGGAAATAAAATAAAAAAGAGAGAAACCCCGTACATAACAAAAGTTTGTTGAGCGTGAAGCCTCTTTTTATTGCAATCTTTTTAGCAACCAATGCTAATTTTACATTTTATCCCTCTAATTTAAAATTGTCTACTTGATGTTAGTAGACAGTGAAATTTCTTTGCAATCAACAAACAATATGAAATATGTTTTTCCATTTTGTAGCATTTAATTTTGGATTTTTAGCTTTTAATTTTATCATAGATAATAAAAATTTAATTGTTCAAAAATAAATAACATATTGAAATTTTGTCATTTTCTTCAAAATTTCATATTCAATATGAACTTTTATTGAATGGATTCGACAAGCATAGTCCAAAAAATATTATTTAAAAAAAAAAATTAAATTACGAGTTATAGTATTTTAAAGTTTAAAAAATGAAATTAGCTGTTGGGTTGCCCATGTTGTCCTTCTCATAATAAAACTTATGGGCTTGTTTGTTTCTTATAAAAAAAATCTTATTACTACGAGAGTCTATTATAAAAAATTTCAACTTTTATTGCTCACGCCTTGTATAAAAAAAATCTCTATGGATATGAACCAATATAGGGGTGTGATTGGGTCAGTTTGGTTTAAGTTAGACATTAAATTTAGAACCAACTTGAATGAATCATGCACTTGAACCAAATCAATCCAATCCAAAAAAATAATCAATCAATAATAAATAATTAAACTAAATAAGTCTTTAATAGTATTTAAATAAAACGCAAACATAAAATAAATATTGTTCAATACAAGCCAACAACTCCAACTCAAACTTAAATACAACCTATACAAATCAATTCCAGTAATAAAATAAAATTAGGTACCGTGGATTCCAACTTTTAACTTCTAGTATTTTCTTCTTCCACTTTCCATTGGCCAATATCCTATCGACTGAAAATCAAAATAAATAGTGAGAAATGATTAATTGCAATAAAGTCCCCATTAGAATGGACCAATTAGGCAAAAATATGCCAATATAAATTGAATCTTATAACCAAAAATCAACCCAATCCTGCTGGATTGAAGAATTGAAAACTCTAAACTAAACCAATGTATTCAAAAAATCAAACCAGTCCAATCTAAAGAGGCTGGTTTGGTTTGGTTTAGTTTTTTGATTCTATGGTAATTTGTCCACCCCTAAACCAATATAAAGGCAAAAGAGCATAGATAGATATATCAACAAATTTTATGATGAAAATTAATGAGGGGGATGTGAAAGAAATGATAAGAGACCCAACTGTGCTTTCGTTTCTTGGGAAAGGATTATACGAAATTAAGAAATTTACCGAATGTTGACGGAAGACACATGTCGCACTTTGTAAAAATCTTCTCCTTCTTCACCATTGACCCCTCGAAGCTTGTTATTAAATTTTTCACTCATTTCTTGAATTGTAAATTGCTGGAGGGTAGCAATGAATCTTAGTCCCTCTGGAACCATTTCCAGTCCTTGGCAATAATGAATGGCTAAAACAGTGAGATTGGGCAGGGCTCCTATTTCCACCTCCCACTCTTTAAGGTGCTTCAAACAATGGAGTTGTAAGGTTTTGAGTTGGGGGAAACCATTATCTGAGCAAACCATTTTGTCCCCTACAAAGGCATCAAAATCTAAATTGAGGAATTGTAGGCGAAGTAGCCTCTCCAATGTTGGCATAGGGTCCTCTTGAAGTTTACACGAGCACAACTGTAACTTGATGATGCTGGAAGAGAAATCTTGGTACTTTGGTAACTTGACAATAAATCCAAATACAGACAATTTGTAAAGATGGTGACACCCTAACAGTTGTTTGAGAATAGTCAACTTTTCTTCTTCGAAGGAAAAATAAACTGATAAGGATGTTTGTCGAAGGTGGTTGGTACTGATGTTTACGTAGTCGAGGAATGCCCCAAAGTCCTCACTGTTTTCTGTCTCCGGGAAAGTTGCATCTAGTTGCCGAAGATTGATTAATTTGAACAGGTCATTGACGTCACAGTTCCATGTGTTGAACCCTTCGAATGTCTCGAGTTTTCTCAACCCATCCAATTTGAATTTGTTTCTGAAATTCAAGTTCAAAGAAATAAACAAATGTCTCAATCCTTCCATTGAATGTAAGACTATTTCTTCACCTAAGTTGAAGTTGCAACCTCGTAAATCCAAGGTTTGCAAGTATTTCAACTTGCAGATAGACGAATGCCATTTTGGCATGAAACAATGTCTAAAACTCAAGTACCTCAAGCAAATTAGGTTACCTATTGATTTGACTAACTTTTCATCAAACTTAAATCCTTCAAGATCCAAATTCCTAAGCAATTTGAAGTTCTTGAAATGGGATTTCAACTCTATTGAAGACTCGTTGTCACGTCTTGGATTGTAGAACAATATTGATCTTAGCTGTTTAGTTGTCACCAAGTCAGGGAGGACAACTCTTTCGATATCCCTATTCAAATGAATTGCAAGTTTGCGTATTTCAAGAGTAGTAGTTGTTAATGTGGTGGACAAGTAATCAGTTAGATCAGTTTTGTGTTGGAGATGAATGATCCTAAGAAAATTATTCTTTTTTGCCTCTAATAAACACAGATCCAGCATATGGTGATGAATGCGGCAATAATTGATCTCTTGAGTATGCTCCTCTACTTGTACTTGAACCATGCACCTCTGTGCAAGTGCACCCAAGTAACGTTTTGCCACATCCATTATTGTTTCATCCCCCACTCTATCAGCATCTATAATTATATCGTCAGCAATCCACAAGTTATATAGTCTTTCAGCATCTATCTCAAAATCCTCTGAAAAGTGACCAAAATATAGAAAACATAGCTTGAATTGATCAGGCAAGTCATGGTAGCTTAAAGCTAACACCTCTAATACTCCATCGTAATGTTGTATGGGGTCGTCACTCCATTTACGCGAACGGACATTTTGGTATACCTTCTCCCATTTCCTTACTGTATGCTTTGTTGCCAAAAGTCCACCAAACACAATGATTGCTAACGGTAAACCAGCACATAGCTTTACCATTTCCCTCCCCAATGCCTTCATATTTGTGTCAAGCACTCTGGAGTCTACAAAAACCACAAAATGCCAAATTTAAAAATGACAAAAAAATAGATTATTGCCTAGAGTCTATAAAGCAAAAAAAATGAAAATTCTAATGAATGCTTGTGTTAATAAGCAATAAACAAGGAAAATTTGCCGACTTTTTGAGACCCAAAATAATTTTTTTAACATGGCCTTTTATACATATATAGATAGAAAATTCTAAAGCGAGTTTATAATATGGATTGATTTTTAAACCTTTTTTTTTTTTTGTTGCAAAATCAAATCGGTTGGTAATTTAAATTTTATTTAAAAATTTTGAACTTTCGTATTCTCAAGTATAAAACTCAAATTATTAGTTGTAAAATTACTAATCAAACTTGTATAATTCAATTTAACAATCAAATCCATTGAATCATTCTTCTGACAAAATTGACCAAAGGTAAGATTTAATCAATTTTAGTTTTAAAAAGTTTATTTCCTAGAAACAACTGTAACAGGGATAGTTAATAACATTCTATACACAAACATATGTTTAGAAAATAATCATCCATTAGTTTTAAATAATTTACTACATCAACAAGTTTTTTTTGTTTATGCTAAGTCTTGTAATAGTTAGGCTTAATTCCCATCAAATACTATTGAAAATAAGTCTTAGTAAAATCGTCGCTAAAAATAATTGTTTGTGATGATTTTTTACATATGTTGCTAAAATTAACAATTAGTGATTTTTTTTATCACGGTTTTTTTAAATTGTCGCTAAAACTTACAATTAGTGAAGTTTTTCTATGACGAATTTTTCAAATTGTCTTTGAAAGTTGAAAATTAGTGATTTTTTTTGTGACGATTTTTTTAAATCGTCGCTAAAACTTATAATTAATGATCGTTTTTGGGACAAAATTTTTAATCTGTCGTTGAAAATTAACAATTAGTGTCATTTTTTAATGGTGTTTGATGAAAAACACCATTAATTATCATAAAACCTATTGGACAATAAGTCTACCTATTAAGACCGACACATAAGTCTTCCAAACAATAATGCTAAGAAACCAATAACTATACCAATGAATTTTTAACTGCAACACACAAATTATATGTAAGTTTCATCATTTGACGTGAGGTCCAACTAACATTGTGTCTAGACCAAAATTCTTTGTTCTCAAAACTATAAAAAATTAAAATGATACACAAAAATGAATTGGGTGAAACTATTTTAAAATTTTATTTTGAGAAAATTCTCAAAATTTTAAACCTTACATAAAAAATGAAAATAATATAGACTTTTAACAAACTGATCTCAAATAAACTTTAACGAATTGAGCTTAAGTAGTATAGTCCATTTTACTGTCCTAATTTTTAACAAAATATTGTAACATAAGTTATTTTCATCTATTATATTTGTTATCTAGACAAATGTAGAGTGTGCATCCCTAAGAACATAGGTGCAGGCAAGTTATGATTTTATGTGATGAAAGTAATGAATATTTGTAATTTATTATGTCCCTGTATGGTAAAATTACCAATAGTGAATAAAAAATGATAAACAAGTGGGTCTAATTTATGTTGTGCATCTTAAAGTTACTAATGATGAAGTTATGACTTTTCACTTTTTTAATGATATTTTGTGGTGAGAAGTTATGACTTTGTGATGAGAAAATTTATAAAATTTAATGATTTATGCTATTTGTAAAATTTTACAGAAGAGTTATGAAGAAGATACCGTATGCACTCTTTTGAGATGCACATTGTAAGATTATAGTATAGGATTGAGATTGTTGACTTATGGACTCACAATCCCATTTTTCATTGTAAATTTTATTAACTGAATTACATGTTAGCAGACATTCAATTTGACGAAATTGACAAATTTTTAATATCGAGAGGAGCGGGGATCATAATTTTAAGTATGAATTAAAAAAACAAAAATAAATATATAATAAATTGTTATCTCACTAATTTTATTGAATAACTAATCCTATACTAATTCATAAAATTATTAATCATTTCGCTATTAATCAATCAGGGCCTTAGTTATTCTTGAATTCTGTACCATAACTACATGGCCCAAGGTATGTATGTATGGTTTGTTTTGTTCTATTTAGTTTTTGTATGAATATTCTACCTAATGAATTCTTAAAAAAAATTAATGATTTGAATTTACCGAAATTGGTCCAAAATGGGCCATCAAAACCAAACTATTCTCTCAAATTGAATTGTCAAATTGAAAGAATTCAAATTTGAAGGGAAAGTAGTTTAAGAAAGACATTTGAAACTTTAAAAGCATAAATAATTAATTAGATGATGTTAATAATTACCGGTACCTTCGTTTCTTCTAAACAAGGTCTTCTCAAAAAGCTCCCAACTCTCCTTTTCTGTTAAGTGCCTCAATTTATAAAGCACACATTGTTGATCTACATGCTTAGCAACATTTTCATTGCGAGTTGTTAGCAATAATTTGCTGCCTACCTCTGTAGTATTTGGGAAGCCTGGACTCAAACTATCCCAATCCGCATCCTTCCAAATGTCATCGAGAATCACCAAACATTTCTTCTCACTTTGGACTTGATGAAGTTTCTTGACTAGGTCATGATGTTTCGACTTTTCAATCTCTTCCCTTTCTTCTTTTGGTGGGGAGAGAAGTTTGATAAGAATCTCTACAAGAACGTCCCTTGTATTGCATTGTTGAGATACATAGGCCCAGGCAACACATTTAAAATGGCGCCTAATTTCAATGTGTTTGTAAACCGTCTTGGCAAGGGTGGTCTTGCCAAGACCACCCATCCCCCAAATGGAAACAACTCTATAATTTGTATTCTCCGTCACCAAAAGATCCACTACTGCTTTTACATCTTCTTCTGTGCCGACAACATCCTCCTCAACAATATGGGTATAGGATCGCCTTAATTGTCGCTGCCTCTCAGCCAGAGAAGTTGATGATGAACTTTCTACTACTCCTGTAGAATTTAGTATTCCACAAGTTTGAAAACCTGTTGTGAGGCTATTGGTGATCCTGGTATTAATAGCCTCAATCTCCAACCTAACCTCACGAAGGGCTAAACATTCCTTGAAGATACACAAATACCTCTTGAGAATGAAAGGGAACTGATCTGATCTCTCACTAGTACGAAATGCAATTTTGACAAGAAAAGTTGCAATTGCAGCTTCAGCATCATAGGATGCTTCTCTGATCTCAGCAACGCATTGGTGCATTATAATCTCATCTCCTTCTGGTCCTCCTCTTGGTCTTGCATCTGCAGCTACTAAGAAGCATTGCATCCTGTTTAGCTGGGCTTGCAATTGGTCAACTTGAGGCCTCAACCCACCCAAGTTATTCGCTTCCTGGATGAGAAACCCACCCAGACTTCTCACCACCGTAGTCATCTCTCACCACCAAAGTGTTCTTTCTTCTTCTTTCACGGGGGTGTACTTGTTATATGGACGACGCAATTACAGTCCGCCCACGCCGTCGACAACCCGCAATTATTGACTGTCTGCAAGATTACAAAGGCCTCCTTTGGTATGTCTTATGAAAGAGTTAAAAAATTAAAGTTTCAAAGCGCGCAATGTAATAGATTCGAAGCTTATCTATTTCAATTTTAAAGAAACTCAATAATGCGGGTGTGGGTCAGATGGCAACGACATTGACAATAATGACTCCCCAACAATCATAAACTTAAAGAGTTGAAGGCCCACCAATTTTGTTGTTTCTGGACCATGTCACGTGAAGGATTGCCCACAAATTATTAAAGAAGCGAAGATTCAAATAAATAAATAAATAATTGTGTCTACGTATTAGGTTTAGTATATATATTTTTTTATTGGTGAGAGGTTCAGTATTTATGAAATAGTTTAGTGAGATGTCTTTTTACTTGTTTTGAAAGATATTTTGTTTTTAATTTTACCTCTTAATTTATCTATTGGCTTTTTTTGACTATCCGTTCAAATTATTTTCTATTTCTTTTCTTTTTTTATCTATCTGTTCAAATTTTTTTTATTTGTTCAATTTTTTTCTGTGTAAATTTTCTATTTGTCCAAATTTTATTTATGCAAATTTTTTATCCGTCAAATTTTACTTGTCTAATTTTTTATCCGTTCAATATTTTATGTATACAAATTTTCTATCCAAATAATTTTCTTTTTGTTTATCTATCCAAATTTTTATCTGTTCAATTTTTATCTGTTAAAATAACAATTTAATTTTTTCTGTTCTCAATTCTTTGAAGATTTCAATCAAAGAATATTTTCCTTATCTGTTTATGACTCATCAAAGTAGTAGATTGTGAGGGGGAGGAAGAGATAGCAAAGTACTCATCAAAGAAGATTTAAACTCAACTTCAGATTTAAAAAACCTAATAAATCAGAGAGAGAGAGAATGCCGGTTTTTTTACTATCTGTTCAAATTTCCCAATCTTGAGGCTTCAAAATGTCATCGATAACCACCAAACATTTCTTTTGACTTTGGACTTGAAAAAGTTCCGCAACTAGCTTACCATGATTCATTATTTTGTTTTTTTTTTCCTTCTCATCGAGGGATGGAGAGGTAAGCCCGATTAGAATCTCTTCTAAAACTTCTTTAGTATTTCATTGTTGAGATACAAAAGACCCAGCAAAATAATCAAAATGACGCCTGATATCATTGTGATTGTAAACTTTCTTAGCAAGGATGGTCCTACCAAGACAGCCCATCCACTAAATGGAAACTAGTTGACACTGTCTTTCTTCCTTCACCAAATGTTCCACTATTGTTTTTATGTCATCATCTAAGCCAACATTATCCTCCTCCACAATATGAGGATAAGACCGCCTTAGCAGTTGTTGCCTCTCAAGTCTCGAACTTTCTCCTTCACTATTTGCCCTTACGCCATAACTCTCTAAACTTGTCCTGATGCTATCGACAATCTTGGTTTTAATATACTCAATCTCCACCCCAACCTTATGGATGGCTGTATGATTCTTGAAGACACAAGAATACCTCATGAGGACACTGAGGATACTACCTGTTTCCCTCATGAATGCAACTTTGATAATGTATGTGTCAATTACAGCCTCAGCATCATAAGCATCTTCTTTGATCTCGGCAACCCAGTTGCAGACTCTCTCATCTCCTTCTTCTCGCTTTTCAGCTACATCTTTCAAGAAGCATTTCATTCGATTCAACTCCCTTTGCATTTCTTTAACTTGGCCGCTAACCCCACGCAACAAATTTTTTTTTTGGATGAGTACATCTCCCAACCTTTTTACCACAAAGGCTACAAAAGGCCTAGCTATAGTTCCTGCCATACTCGCTGAAGTCTTCTTCTTCTTTCCACTAATTCAACTAAGGAACAAAAAATAAAGAAAGAAAGCAACAACAATGCTTTGATAATAGCTAGCTCCATGCCTAACCAGAAAAGTAAGCAAAGAGGCCAGCTACCACAGCAGTGATATGAATAATGGCCTCAAAGTCTACCTATAGTTTGGGTTTTCGGCTACGCCTAAGTTAGGAATTTTTTTTTTTTTTTTTTAAAAAAAAAAAATTCTCCTCATCCAAGTTTGACTCAGCCCGATTTTGAGACATGTTATTGGTCCGTCTTGGAGTACCGTCACATGGTGTCTTAAGAGTGTCTTAATTGATAGAGAATGTGAGACTCACAATTTTATATTGGGTGATTAAGAATAACAGGAACATGATATATTATTATTGATGAGAAGTATCACGATGCCTAGAAACACCAAATAATTTTTTTGGCTTTTGAACCTACAAATCTAGGGTAATTATTTGGTAATCTCGGAGTATAGACACGCGATACTCCATTGTATTGTGATTGGTGGAGAATGTGAGTAGGTGCAGTATTGTGTTGGGTGATTGAAAAACGTGAGGAGACATAATGAATCATGGTTGATTAGAAAATACGGACATGTGATACTCTGATAATCTTTTATAATTTCCCACAAATCTCTCCCAAGCTAGACTTCAAACTAAAAAATAAGGGTGTGTTTGGTTTGGTTTGGGGAGATAAATTTTCAAAAAATATCTTAGGGAGAGAGTTTAGAAATTTTTTTGATTTGTTTGGTTGTATATTTTGAAAATAATTTTGGGGTATTGGAGTTTGGGATGATTTGATATTTTGTTATAATTGAGTAAATGTGTGTGAAAGAAAAAGTGATTGAAAATGAGAGAGAAAAGAGAAAAAGTGATTGATTGAAGTGTAGGAGATAAAAAGTGATTTTGAAATTTTTTTTCCAAAATCACTAAACCAAACAAAATCTAAAAAAAAATTCTCCAAAATTACTCTCTCAAAAACAAACCAAACAAGGCCAATAATTTTATCATATAAATAATGATAAATATTATAAAACTAAAAGATAATAATTTTATGGGTAAATTATATCGATGGTTTTTATATTTTATCTCTTATATCGTTTTGGTTCCTACATTTTCATATGATTTAATTTTGACATTTAATTTTAGATTTTGCATTAATTTGGTCTAGTTGACACTACAACATATAAGAGTTTTAGAGATCAAATATTTTAGTGTCTAAAAGTAAAAATTTTGTTGCAAAAGACATTTAGAGACCAATTTTCATCGTCATGAGGATAGTCGTTAAAAGATCGTTCCGAAAAGTCAAAAACAAGGCTTTTAGCGACAAAATTTTGAAAATGCCACTAATAAATAAACTTTTCGGGGCAAAATAATTTGGTCTTAAAATGATTTATTTTTTTAGATAAAAAATTTGATCCCAAAAGGATAATAATTCATCACGAATGTTTAATTTTTGTTGCTAAAAGTATATTAACGACACTTTTCGCAACAAAATTATTTAGTCCCTAAAAAATAATTTTGTCCATATATTTTGGTATCTAAAACCTTATTTTTTTGTATTGTGATAATATTGTTAGTGTTTTTTAAGAAAAATTATCACTAAATTAGTTGAATTTAACGTAGTGAGTTAGACAAATTCATAATTTTGCTCTTACAAATATCACACATGATACTTATGTGCATATTTTTCATAAAAAAAATACTAAGAGCTGTAACCAATTTAATCAAATTGAGACAAAGTCATAAGTCAAGGTCAAAATCAAGCTAATTAAAATTATAAAGACTAAAATGATACAAAAACCAAAGTACATGAACTGCCGTCATAATTTACCTTAATTTTGTAATTGAGTGGCTACAAAACCTTAATATTTAGTCATTACATCTTAAATATTAACTTAAATAAATATATTTTTCATTTTATGTATATTCTTTTATTCAAAAAAATAAAATTTAGTAAATTATATATATACACATTAATATGTATATATGTACATATGAGAAAGATTTGAAGGGTGTGTACCGTATGCACCTTACAATTAAATAAGAAAATGACAAAATTTTATACTTTATAAGTCATAACTAAAAAAAGTCATAACCAAATAGCACATAAAGTATAACAAAAAATCTCATGAGTCATAACCAAAATAAGATCGTAACTAGAGAAAAAAATTAGTCATAATTAAAAAAATAGTATAATTTAAAAGTATAATGTAACTTAAGGATACATATGATAGGAGACATTTATAGTAGAATTTTCCATGTACATAATATATACTAATAATCAGGCTAGGGCGAGTAGGAAGAAACATTTCTAAATCCAGCCAAATTAAGAAATGACTTTAAAAAATAATTCTGATCCAATTTAATGAGTTTAAATATCAATCTTAAGACTTTAAAAGAAGTATTAAAATTGACAAACACTTATAGAGAAATTATTTAATATCCTAAGAGCAAATTCAGTGGTATTTCAAAGTAGTAGTTATTGGCCTAAATTATAAGACTTGCTAATTTTGTATTAGAATTTTAAAAGACAATTAATTAAATGTCAACCTGTATATAGAATAGAGCAATGTACTTAAAGCATTCAATAATTTATCGACTATGGTGGTGTTTGATAAAATTAAAAATTAAAAACTGAATATTGAAAATTAATTGAATGTTGAATTTTTTAAGTTGAAAAGTTTTTTGATAAAAATTTAAGTGCTGAACTAAAAATAAATTGTTTAATACACTACTAAAAAAATCACTTTTTGCGACCGCTATAAACCATCGCAAATAATAAAAAACAGTCGCAAAAGACCTTTTGCGACGGCCCATGCGACGGCAAATGGGGGTCGCGAATGTGGGGATGGCAAATACTTTTTGCGACGGCAAAGCAACGGTCGCAAATTATTCGCGACCGCCTAAACTACTTATGGCGACCACTATTTTTCCGTCGCAAAAAACAAAGAAAAACACTAACATGATTTTTGGCGACCATCTTGTTACCGTCGCAAAAAAAAAAAAAAAAAAAAAAAAAAAAAAAAAAAAGAAAAAGTTAAGCAGTCTAAGAGTAGTAATGACAAGAATTTAGACGGTATAGCATTGTAGTTTAATCAAGCATTCCATTTGAATCTCAAAATTGGAGTCATATGTGAGTTATTACAACTAAAAACTTGAGAAAAGTTCTTTTATGAAAAAAATACAATCCATTGAAAAACAGCTCTTTGTTGATGTTAGGGTGCGTCTTGAAGAGGACACCTGGATTGCCTCCAGTCTCAACCTGAAAGTAAGGCAAGATGTTAAAGCATGCCATTAGATAAAGCATCAGAATTTAAATCTACAAACTCAACTCATGGAGAAAAAAGTATGCACTTCTAAAGATACCACAAAAATTAGCTTTAAAAGGTCATTAGTCTTTTAACAGCAGAAATAAACTTAAGGCAACATTATAGTCTCTAAATATGGTGAAGAACTAAGCTCCTGTTTGAATTTCCAACTGAAATTGAATGGGGCCATTCCTTTCTCACAAAAGAATTTAACTTAAAACTCATCAACCTTGAACTGTTATTTCCATAAAGCCTATAAATGACCATATATGAAAAAAATTATAAAATAGAACTCTACTTGAGATTACTCTGTAACACAGTTGACATATAAAAATACAGCAAGATTTAGAAAAATAGGCACGGAACAAGGTGGCGATGAAAGTGGAGAACCCCCATGCAAAAACCATCAGAAATTGCCATTATCTAAACTCATCAAGTGACCACATGTTGACAATTGCAGTTCCAAGTTCAAGCAAAGGGAACACAGTTCAGGAGGAAGAAGACATCACTACAAAAACTGAACAAGAAATGGCTGAAGAACAGTCCTCATTTTCCATTCCTGATGCTAAAGACGGGGGTCAAACAGAGGTAAATAATACAGGTAGTCCAAATGAAGTAGAGAAGCACACCAGGGAAGGCGATTTGATGGAGGGTTTAAATCAGACCAGGCATTTAGACAGATACAAAGATCTACATGTCTCACATCAACCAAATCAGCATAACTTTCACATATCAAGGCTACTCTTAGACAGATACAAAAGGTGTTTGAATTTAACAGGACTGTTCACAATTTCATAACCATAACATCTAAGAGATCTCAATCCTAGAAAACTTCATGCAAGTCATTCAAAAATTTCCTCTAAGTGCACAGTATCATGTGAATAAAAGAAAATGGCAGAAGAGAACCTGGCATGCCTCTGACAGAGTTGAGAATCCTTCTTCAAAACAAAGCTGAAAGTCAAAATTTTAACATAAAAGACATGTACGGGCAGAATTATAAGGTTCAGCTGAAAAGCATAGTAAAATGAATTTGGAACCTGTACTCGTCACTAACACCATATGAAAGACTATATCCTGAAACTCTCAAGCACTGCCACTGCACATGAATTCATAAGGTTTAAAGCTTGGCCATCGTTTGGTTTCTCAAATTCATGACCTTCAGAAAATCACTGACACACACTCACTGCAACATTTTTCATTATGTAAGATGTTTCCAATAAACTGAGGAAAGACAGTTTATAGATCCAGCATGCCTTCTTAGTTTTAGAATCAAACATCCTTTCCAACATCACCACATCATGTTAGGCCATGAAAATTAGATTGGGACTTTAAACAGTAATTCTATGGTCCCAGAACTTCTTTCCCAGAAATCTCCTAGAATCCAATTACCATGTGCAATATCAACTACAGCATAAAATTGGGTATGATCACTTGGTTGCAAGAAAAAGAAAACCAATAAATGAGCAGAATATATATATATATATATGGGTAATACATGAGCAGAATTGTACAATCATGAACTAAAAATTATACACGCGAGGTCACATGTATCGGTAATAAGACTGGCCAATACTGACCATAGGGTAGGTATGATCTTTATCTTTAGGAAAAGTCATAAAACTGAACTGTTGAGTTCTAACATAAGGCATGGCTAGAATGAGGACAAAGGAGAATATATGGTATATACTCCCATATAAATACACTCAAAACATGATTACAGTACTTATGTTTCTGTGTGTGTGTGTGTGTGTGTGTGTGTGAGAGAGAGAGAGAGAGAGAGAGAGACTTATGCAGGTTAATTCACTGAGCCAATCGTTGTTTCTCTACGGATACTTGTGTGCAAGAAAAGAAATATATGGTCTTAGAAAGCAACATACCTAACTCATCCTACTTTACAGCATCAAGAGAGAACAACAGACAATTTCCACAATTTGCAGCAAAATGAGAAAAGACAACTTACTGTATGGTTCTACCATGATAATTGACATGTACTCATCCAAGTATTCAATGACAGCAGCATGGCCACCCCCCATGTACATCAAGCACACTAAACTTTCCGACCTCTTCAGTGCACTTTCCATCATCATCTACAGGGGAATGTATGAGCAGACCATACTTCAAGCCAATCACATAATCTTTCTGAACGTGACCAGAAGCTGTATGGACAAGCCCAGTTGCTAACTCTGTTGTAACTAGTCTCCCCCAATGACAAATGGACAGTGTCTGCTATCTATTGGATGAATATACCTGAAGCCACATTTAAAATCCACATGTTAGATAGCATCATGCCGACAATTCACAACACTGGAACTCTAAAGACCTGTAGCTTCTGATGTAAATTTGGACATGAAAAATCACATAAACAAAGGACAATGATGGATTCATACTAGAATGGCATAACTCTTAGAGGACATAAAACAGTTCGAAAGTTCTATTTCCAAAAATAACCTGCAGTTTTCAAGATCTGAACCCATTAGAAGCATCTCCCGAGAGTGCATGCACCTCAACAACGGCATATTGAAGCTTCGGATTCACCATAACAGCTGAGCATGAAAAAAGGAATATTTTATTACATATTATAATGTATACAAGGAAAAGAGTGTCATATAGTTGTGTATGCATGTCACATTGCAAGCAAAATGTGCAACATTACTGTATGAAGTAAATAGACACAGTTTAGAGGACTAACAGTCGATGTAGTTTCTGCTATAAGCAATATTTCTCCTACAGTAGTAGTGCATGCTATAAAGAAAGAGAACTGCAAGTGATCACAGAAGAGTCTACACTCTACTACACTCTAGACCATACCTTATATGACATCTTCATTTCCCACTAAGGCAGGACTCAATTTTCTCAAAACCATGGCTTAATGACAATAGTTATATGGATAAAATATACATATAAGAGGCCATGGAAATTTTGGTTAGTTTTCTTGAGTTTCAACAACATTGATGTGAATACATAGCCCTCATATACAGAATGCACACTAGTACAATTTACTTGTTTAATCAAAACTAGTTAGAGGAGCTCAACCACTTTTCCATCTCAAATACTCTTCAAATGGTAAATGCTACTACTAAAGTGGGTAGGTATAAAAGATAATATCAGCCGCTGCAATTCAACAAATTTTCAGGAAGATTGCATCAATGAGTAAATGAGCATTTTAAGACTGTTCCTAGCCCAAAAGAAGATGTAAATGCTCATGTTTTAAACAATGCCCATATACCATATACACAAGCGCTGAATATCAACAATATATAACCTCTTATTGTCATTGCATTACCTATTATCATTAACTAATAAAAAGTGAGGAATACCAACAGAGGATTTTCTAAGGTGGGGTAGGATTTAAAAAACAAGACAAAAACAAAAAAGAAAGAAAGAAAAAAGAGAAAATAACAGCATGGGTAATCCTCAAAGTTCAAGAAGAATTATGGGACCCTACTCATCTATATTGAACATTTAATATCAATTGAAGCATACAAAAATTGGCAATAAAGGGAAATCACAAAGATATGATGAGTCATTTCAACAGTAAAAGAACAAGACCTTAAGTTACATATTTTTCTAGGCGTTCCATGGAAAAAATATTATAAGCTAAAACTGTAAGACCCTCAGTATTATTGCGTAATCAGAAGTCCTCCACAGATCTTATAGACTATAGGAGCATACTGTAAAATATATTAAGAACAGAGCATGTTATACAAGTGAGACAGATAGATATGTAAGGAGAAAAATGTTCAAACAAGGTTGCAACAATTTTACTTGGACGAACGAACTTTGCTTGAAAAATACTGTAAAATGTAGTTGAGAAAAGCGAGATATTCTTTGATGCAAGTGCTACACGCTAACCTGTTGATGAATTCGCTTCTTCAGCTGAATAATTTATGGATTAATAGCATTATCCTCTCTGAGATATAACAAACCAAAGATAATGTGAATGCTCTCTGATATTCATTTGTTGATTCATTTCTCTCAAATTAATAGCAGATAAGGAAGGATTTATTCAAACCAAAGCTTGTTTCCAGAATAAGCCTACCTGGTGAAAAAATCAATACGAATGAATGATTCGAATTACAGTGAGTTCAGATGAAGAAGTTGAATACGAATTACAGTGAGTTCAGTGAGTTCAAGTGATCGAAGTAGAGAGATGAATAAGTTGAAATACGAATGAATGATTCGAAGAGACTCACTGAGACGAGAGAGAGAGAGAGAGAGAGAGAGAGAGAGAGAGAGATACCGTTGGAGATCTCCTCTTTAGACGACCATGGTGAACTACAGTGCGAAATCGAGAGAGGAATCTTGATCTAACAATGAACCTGGTTACTCAGACACGGTCGAGTGATTTGGGGAAAATGAGAGTCTAGGGCAAGATATAAATCAAAGATCGAGCGATTTGGGGAAAATGAGATCCTAGGGCAAGATAGAAATCAAAGATCGAGCAATTTGGAAAATATAAATTGGGCTGAGTCCCAATGGTGGGCTCGCAAGTTTTTGTTTGAAAATATAAGTCCCAATAGTTGCTTCACCTGGTTTGCCGTTGTAAATAATATTTTTTGCGACGGTCAAATAATCAGTCGCAAAAAACAGACGCAAAAAGTTGTTTTTCTAGTAGTGATATATATATAAGTTCAAATTTAAAATTTTTATTTTTAAACTGTATAACTTAATTTTTATATTGTGATGGTGGTGATAGTAGTGATAGTGGGGGTGGTAGTAGTAATGTTGATGGTGATAGCGGCAATGGTGGCATGGTGGTGATGGCAGTAGCAATAGCAGTGGTAGTAAAATAATTGTGGTATTTATGAAAACAATGACAATAGTGATAAATGTGGTGGTTGTAGTGGGGGTGATGGTGGCGGCATGATAGTGACAGTGACAGTGGTGTTGGTGGCGTGATAGTTATAGTAGTAGTGGTGGTGGTGGCGGCGGCGTCGTGGATGTGACATGGTGGTGGTGTGGTTACGGTAGCAGTAGTGGAAGTAGTGACTGTGACATGATAGTGGTGGTGGTAGTGACGGTACCAATGTTGGTGGTAGTGGCATGACAGTGGTGTTGTAGTGATAGTGAGTTTATAATAGTGTATGTCGATATTTATATATAATAGTTATAAATTTAATCAAAATCAAATAAGGTTCATATGATTTAAAATAACTTTTATTTTAAGAGACGTTTAATTTTTTAAGTATTAATAATTATAAATAAATTTAATTAATTATTAATTAATATATTTAATTTTAAGTGCCGAATGAAATTAACAAATAGCCCTTTGTTGATAATTCTACTTTGTTCGGCGATCAAAATGGTCAAAATGATAAAAAGACGTTCCGACAGCCACCATGTCTATGACAACTGTAAAAGAAAAAGCTGCAGCATTCAAAATCAACGAGAATCATGTGGTTTTGTTTGGTGGTCAAAATCGTCAAAAGATAAGAGTAAAATTACAGTAAATCCCACTCAAATTGACTCAGTTTTACATTGCCCCCTAATGTATAAAACACGACACTTAACGGAAAATTTTATTTCCCGACGCATAATTAGTTCAAGACACATATTTAATAAAATATTAATATAATGATAATTATATTCTAAATAAAAATGATCATAATAGACATTAACATCCATAATATTATATGAAAAAATTCTCTATAAGCATCTTTTAAGATTAAAAAAAACTCAATATACACCTTTTGAGTTAAAAAAAAAAAAAGTACACTCTAATTTTTTCATTGTTGTCACATTGTTGAGAAAGACTGCTTTTTTTTTTTTTTTAAATTTTTAATAAATTCTAAGAAAATTCTCAATAAATTATGTATAAATTCTTGGTAAATTACTCATAAAATTATCAAAAAAAAAAAAAAAAAATCGTGAACGTGCTTTGTTCTTTGGTTTATGATTGATTCTTTTTTGTTTATCTTCTTATCAAAGAAGATTGAAGAACTGAGTTAAGGATTTTTTTTTTTTTTTTTTTTTTTTTTTTTTTTTGAGAGACGCTTCACTCAGCTTCTTCGCTCTTATTTCCTTTTGACTTATAACAGCTTGTCATGCACGATCTCT